TGGAAGAAGAGTGTTGGCCTCCACATAAATGCTGTTTCTCCATGTCATGTCAGCTGGAATCAGTGTTGTGTTGCCAGGATTAATTCATTACTGCTGCTGTATCATGTATTATATAAAACATTAATGTAGTCTTTAATTGCTGGGAAATGCTGAACATGCAGGATTTAAAAACATGACTGACATTATGTTCCAGCTGTGTAAGATTCTAATTAAAACATTTATTACATATTGCAATCTGCAGATTTTCTTTCGGGGCCTAGTCCGACTCAGAACTAGTTAGTTATTTATATATGCACTGTCACTCTAACTCATATTGTGAATTTATAGTATGAATACCGTGTACAAAGCCACAGTCTGTAAATTGAATCTGTCAAACTAACATCACCACTAGCACACACCTGAGCAACCTGCCTTTTCTGTGTCACTCACTCACTTTCTTATCATTAGTTCCTCATCTGTGCATATTTAGGCCGGAATTCACTCATCATTATACAAGCAGTCTAGAGTCAGACAGTCTACTGCTCACTGGAAAATGGTCCACCTGTCAATCTGTCTGTCCTTGTCTGCCGTACCTGAATACAGGAGAGCAGAATTCATCCTCTCCTCAGTGGCTCCCTCTGTGGGTAATCTATTATGGCGGGAGGACTTAGACAGGCGTAACAATCTGTAATGGTTGTGTCAGTCAGAAAGCAACCTACCACACACGCCGGCGGCAGGGCCCGCCCAACCGTGGTGGGAGCGCACATTGACTGCTCTGGGATTTGCTGTGACAGGAACTGATTGACACCTAAGCCAATGTCTTCATCTGAGGAAAGAGCAGGGCTAGAGGGAGTGTGGTTTGGAAACGTGGTATAAGAGTTGGATGTATAATTCATATTTTGATAATGCAAGAAAGTATTATCTAGTATCATATAATCTCTCTCCACATTGCACTTGTTTCCGTAATTCCTCCTTCAGATTGCCAAGTGCAGCGTCAAAAGCAGCGCTCTGACTGACAGTTTGTCATTGACATAACTGTTAATATGTAATAATGGAATTATCAGTCGGCACTAGAATGGATCATTCATTGGGGTTGTTGTTTGTGCTAATTCCTAGCAATGAATATGCTCGTTTATACTCATTTATGCGGTTACTTGTGTACTATTGTGATTTCATCATTTGTTATCTACCACATTTAGACGGCACTGAAGTATGAAAAATGGCTGCTTGCCTAGACTTCCTCTCTAGCAGCGTTGGGTCTTAATAGGTTGTCGGGGGAATGGGAGGAGAGATTGATTCTCCTGATGATTTCATTAGATGACATCAAAGCAGGGAAATTGCAACAGAGAGCGGGAATACATCTTGGGTGAATAGGAAATCATCTGTCAATTGGATGATACTGTAAGAACATCAGCAGTGACATTTAACCTTGTCAGTGGAGATAGAGTAATTATGATGTTTTTCTCAATAGAGATATTATGTTGGTGCATTGCATAAGGCTAAATAGCCACATTCATAGATAACTAATATTTAGTGTATGATGCAGTAGGGAGGAAGGAACACAGTTAATTATAGATCATCAGACCAACTGAGGAATCAATATGTGACTAGTTTTTGCAGTAATAGTAATAATCGGTGTAAATGCAGGTGTTCGTTATATGCAAGACGGATCAAACCTGCACAAACGAACATTAAAGAGGAACTAAAATTGTGCTCAGTTTTTGTGTAAGAAAATATAAACTGTAATAATACTGCAATTATTGTGCATATCTTTCTATTGTTTATTCGTGGGAGCGGTGTTTCAGATTCAAGCCTCGGGCTGCGAGGCTGGGAGACGACTCCAAATGAATTCTAAGTTGTTTTGTGTCTGTAGACTATAGGCAATTGTTTGCTAACAGTCACCATACCAACTTTACAGTGATAATATGTTAGCCTAACAAGCTAGGCTAATTAGCCTCCGCTCAGAAAGTGTTAGTTACTTACCTCGCTTGCTAACGTTAGGCGTGATTCCCGCTAGAGACTACATTTTGTTATGTCAGCAGTTGCTGTGTAATTTGCACTGCAGTGCTG